TTCACATTCTCAAGGATGCTACCTCTTTGTCACAAAAAGTTTGTATATTATGATTTATCGTATGTTTTAGTTATCGTATTATACATACTATATCATCCCAAGTGGATATAAACATCCACCCCAGGTACACACAATTAAATTAGAGAAATACACAGGGGTACTCGCATCCGAATTTTACAGTAAGTTGTCTAAGTGTTTTTGCGAAGTACACTCCCGATCTAAACATATTCGTGTTTGAATTGTGTAACTTAAAGAACATAGCTTAAACATAAATCAATAAATTTTACCATTAAATTAATTTTTTTTTAAAAAAAAAAAAGGAATTCGGATGAAAAAAGACCTTAAATTTTTCCTCATAAAAACTTATCGCATTTTGGAACCATTTTTGTTACGTATAATTACACCCTTGCTATAATCGCATATTTTGGGGTGATTATAGGAGGGTTGACTGTATAGTGTAAGTGTTGTAAGTGGGAATAGAATCATAATAAAATTCGGAATCCACTTAGATTAGAACAGAATAATTATACTAAAAATCTCAACCCTAACCTTAAAAATCCCGAATCATACGACATTTAGCACTATATAGTGTTTAAAAAAAATTAATCCATAACTAAATACTTCTTAACTATATATGAGTGTCGTTAAAAGAAAACCCGAAAATTTAAATATGACTTATATTTAAATTTTCGGGTTTTCTTTTCTTTTAGCGACACTCATTATATATAAACAGCTACTACAAACAAAACAAAAAATATTTTTGAATTTATTTAGTATTCACTGGATATGTTTTTATATGATCTATAGAAAATTCCACCACAAATTTTATAAACTTTAGGATTAGGGTCTAAGGCTTAAGGTAGATAGAGCTTGGGTTTTTTTAGGGTGCTGAACATTCCTGAACATTCTTACTTAGTATACCAAATAAGGCCACTTTTGAGAAACATACCCAGTGAATTTCACCTCCGGTGAGCGTTAAAATCGTCCAATATTTTTATATAAGGTCATACAAACTTAATAAATCGGTTCTCGGGTCAAATTTTACAAAACTTAAAAAAAATTTCAAGTATATTTACTATCCGGGTGGGTTTTCTAAAAAATTTATAAAAATTTTATGTTTTTTATATATAATTTTTTGAAAATAAAATTAAAAGCCGGTTGTCGGGTCACTTTCAAAAATTTTATATTATGAGATCCGATTTATTAAGTTTGTATGGCCTAATTTATATTAAAATTTTACAAAATTTTTTTTGTTAGAACCTAAAAATAGTTTATTAATAATAAAATCTTGAAAAATAACAATATCTGTGTACATATATGTAGTGTACAAATAAAAATTCTCTTATTTAAAACATGTAATATTTATAATATAAATTATGTTTTATAATCCGAGTCATAGCAATAGTCATGACCCGGTTGATAAATCTTATACGGGTTACCCGGGTAATTCTTATACGGGTACAATCTCTACTTACGGGCGACCGAACCATATAGATATAATGCTAAATCAATATAATGCTAAATCCCGCAAAGTTCTGTGAAGATGCATAGATAGGTCGTGGAAGACTTGCTATAATGTGATCTAGAGTTAAACCAGATTCTTAAAAAAGACATTAAAACATACTATTAAAAAGTTTTTCTTACCATGGTAAATGCCCTTTTTTTTATTTATTTTTATTTTTTTATTTTGAAGCACCTACTTTTTCAGAGGCGGCCATAACTCTTTGTCTAAACTTCTCAGGATCGTTCATTGAATGAGCTAGATCCTTGAGATCATATGAGTCCAGAAGGTTAATGGTAACCTTACTGGCAATACCACTTTTAAGATTGAACACTTTGACTTTTGGAAATAGGCGAGCACCCAACCTTTGCTTCTGTTCGTGGAGAGGTTTTCCTTTAAGGCTCTCCATAAACTGTTCAGTCTCTTCGTATGCAGAGTCACGAACATAAGCATTAGGTTGATCTACAATCTGTGTGGAAATAGGTTCAGATTTGGATACAGAAGAGCCAATCGACGTTTTAGAAGAAGATGCTTGGACATCTTCATCACAATTAACCGCTTCCAATGCTTGATTAGCTTCCAAAATTTTTTTGGTAAGATAATCAGAATTAAAATAGCATAATGATCTTTCTTTTGCAGTCAATGACATGATAAGATCGAGGACTTCATCAGTATTACGACTACAAAGCTTCTTGATAGCCTTGAGAAACTTCTCGCGTTGCGGTACTTGTGATGATAGACTTTGAACATTATGAGCGTTACTGTTTGTAGTAATACCAGCAGTAACAGAAGGTGCTTCTTCAGAACTGCGACGCTTTTTCTCAATAAAAAGATGATGTCTTGCTTCTGTAATCTAAGATAATAAACTTAATTGTACTATAATAAAACGATAACTAAAACATACGATAAATCATAATATACAAACTTTTTGTGACAAAGAGGTAGCATCCTTGAGAATGTGAA